GTGGGAAACACTGGGAATGCATACAGGTTTGGAACCACATGGTGTTGAGTAAATGCTGACAGAATTTAGATTTTTGAGTGGAGTACCCCTTTAAAGCCCCAAGCTCACCTGTAGTACTCCACCTGGTGCCAAGCCCTGTAGAAGCCATCGAGAGACTCTTCCCCCTGACGGATGTATGAGGTTTTACTGATGTAAACACCTGCACAAACCATGGACATTTATTAAACACTGTACAAGCAGCACATATTCAAGAAGACATAGAGAAGCGCACGCATTTACCATCAAAGCGTACACGTGGCCTTTCCAAAAACATCTCTCTCCAGGATGAAAATGGCAGCATTTTGGTGCAGCTCCGCCCCCACACCCTCAAACAGGCAGACCGCCAAATCTCAGGGTCCCTGAAACAAGACACCCACAAAAACATGGCAAACTGAATTTTTAATGCTTAAAATCTGAGTGCTGTTCTTGAGCACAAGCCGCTATAGTGCTAGTGGGGAAGCTGGTTTACACTGATGTCTGCTGAGTGTGTGAGCCCACCTGGCACAGATATAGAAACCCCTGCAAACCAGGGAAAGCTGCTCTAGGGCTCGAAGGTCCAGGTCACATGACACCACCCAACGGAAGATATACATGAGCACCTCGAAGGGCAAAGCTGTGGACGTGAAAGAAGGGGCTTTCAGGGCAACGGGTAAACTCTAGAAATCCACACAGATTAGCTCCAGAGTGAGGATTACCTGAGATGTGCACCAGAGTCGAGTCTGTCTCAGGCTCACACAGCTTCATGGTGCCGTCGCACAGCGTCAGCTGCTGCTGGAAGTACGTCAGTAGATCGTCTATCTCCCGATCGTTCTCATTGTCCTCCAAGCTAACGAGGGGGACAATCAAACATTCACATTATCGTGCAATCAACCTTCAAACGGCAAAACAAAAGAGAGAAATAGGAACTTGAAAAGTATTTTGCATGTAGAAAATAAAGCTTATTACAATTTGCATTGTGACTTTATTTATTTATTTATTGCAATTGCACACATTTCTATCAATCAAATTACTGTAAGGAAAAAAATCTAATTCTCATTATTGTAAAGCAAAAAAAAAAAAAAAATTTAAATCGTAAAGAACTTTTTAATGCAATACTAATGCAATAATAATTAATGTAAGAGAATCTCCGAAAACTATCAGAATTGTTCAAAACAACTAAAGAAGCGCATCATCCGAGTACATTACAGTAATGAGAAAATGTGCTTGAAAACGGTCATGAAAAAAAATGACTAAAGCGTTATTTTCTTCAAGCAAATTATAAATATATATATACACACTCACACACACACACATATACATACATTCGTAATTTTAATGTTTAAATGTTTTTAATGTTACTGTCTACTGAAAGCAAGCGTTACTATATAAAGGGTCTATACAAAAACAATATCTAGCAGAATAAATATTTCAGCTACAAAAAAAGTAACTATTATTAAATATTTACCTTCTATTATTCCATGAAACATCTATTGTTATTATTATCTTTTAAACATTTTTTATGCTTTTTAGAAGGCTAGAAAACACATTTAAAAATGTTCTAATACACATCCAAGTTTCCCATGACAGTTCATTCTGCAGCCGAGCGCTTACTAGCTGCCACCGCGGTCCGGATCAGGAGTTCTGCTGTAGTTGATCCGAAACTCAATGTCTGGTACCAGCTGCATTGCACTCTTATAGTACTTGATGGCTGCAAAATCAAAATGGGGACATTTAAACCTGCAGGCTTCACGTAATCCATTTTATTAGTCTGAATGGCTAAACAAAAAGAAAAACCTTCATAAACTGCTCCGTTCTGTTCTTCCTCGACAGCCTTCAGGAACAGCTCTCGGGCCTATGAGCACACATTCACAATCAGCCGTAAGACAAGGTCAAGTGAAGGATATAGCATTACACATCAACACCGTGACAGCACAGAGTTATTTTGGTCATGTAATGATCTTTTCTCATAGTACATCCTATGAATATTCATGAGCTCGCACCTTCCCCTCTTTAACGATATCCTGTTTCCTCTTAAGGTCAGCAGTTTTGAGGACACTTTTCTTTCCACCTGAGCTGGGCTGAAGCTCAGACATCCACTTTGCCCGAAAAGCACTGAGCTCCATCTGAAACATAAAAAAACAGCTACAGACTTCAGAAAAACTGGGTCGAGGCTTGATTTTATCCATCATCAGTTAAAGAGTAGAGTTCATCACATAATAGAATGGAGCCACTTGGTGAGAGGGGTTCAATAGTAAGAGGACACGGTGACATTATTTTCCTACTTAACATCGTGAAGCTCGTTGTCACAATCTGTATTGTATAAAGCGCTATATTAATAAAGGTGACTTGGTGACATTTGCCATAAAGTCAAAGTCTTTTCATTGGCAGAGCAAAATAAATTTTGATGAAAGATTATAAAATGTTGTTCGATGAAATAATGTACAACAATTAATCATACACAACAACACCAGGAAGGTACTATAAGAAAATAGTCAGGGGGAAAAAATTGATTTCATGTTCAAAATAATAATTTTGTAGACAGTGGTGCAGATTTTTATTGTTATTTCAGGTATTAATCCTGGGAACTAACTGGTTTAAATTATTATACTAAGAAAATGTCTTGAGATTTGCAACAAGAAAAAAGTAGGGTGGGACTTCAGCCAATGATTCGTTCCATAGTGGAATAGAAAGTACAAAAAAAAAAAAAAATTGTAAACGAAAAAGTAAGAGAGATTTGTTTTGTCATCTAAAAAGGGAAGTCGTTTCAGAAATGGAGTAGTAGATTACAAAACTACCGTATTTCATTAAAGATTACAATTATTTTTTTCTTTGGTGTCTTCTTAAAATAACAAATAAATAATAAAAAGAGGAGACCAAGCCCACTAACTTGCAGATTAGAATCCTCTGTATTTTCATCCTCCCCTTCTTCAACACTGACATCTGTGTTTTGGTTGCTTTCGGCCTAGAAATAACACATATTCAGTCATTTCAAATTCTATATTTTCATATTAAGTAGGTGAAAATACATACAGAGAGTTTAAAAAGAAGTGACGCAGATCTCTCAAAGCCCTGATTAAAAAACTATAACCAGGTCCATGTTTGGTGGAAAACAAGTGACCAATCAGAGCATGATATGCATTAATCAGCAGCACCCGAAAACCACTGCACTAAACTTATAAAACACAGATGATCGGCTATCAAGTTAAATTCGTATTCATTGCATCTGAATACAAGTCCAGTCCTGATTTGCAGAGCTGCAAACTTTGTAAACACACATGCACAACATAGCTTGTTTTCGACATATGGACATTATGCATAATTGTTATTACATGCTGAACGTTTAAAGAATTCGTTAAGACCGTTATTCAGCGTAAAAAAAAACAACACTCAGATGTGTGTGACAGGACTAGTACACGTCATGACTGCTAACGTGCTAATGTTAGCAGCACCTGATTAGCAGCCTCGCTAATCTTAGAAACACAGCTTTTACTGACCATAACAGCTTATTTTGCGAGCTCTTTTAATGTAGCGTTTAATTAAAGACGTGCTTTCAGCGAATGTTTTACAGATCACGATCAGAGAAGCGGACGACACCGCGGTCAAATTTACGAGCTCGGCACACGGCAGCCATCACGACGAGCATGTGACAGGAGCGCTCGCTGAGACGCTTGAGCTTGACTTGAGTTGTGCGACACTCAATCGCCGTTTACGGATACCGTAGGAATGAATGAGAAATGCCGTAATCTGAATCCCACCTGTCGCAAAAAGTCAGTGACTTCTCTTATAAAACGGCATTTTTTTCGGTGTAAACTCTAAAAACAGTTAAATCCAAAAGTATTGTTTAGTGTAAAACATGTTGAAGATTAGCCGACAGGCTGTCGATTCATTAAATGATAAGTTGTTTCCTCTAAAAAGCTGTTTATTCAGCGTTGTGAAGCCTCTCCTCCATTGACATCCATTCAAACAAAACGGCCTCTGGTCTCCTTCCCTGCGTACGGCCAAAGCGGAAGCGTTAGCATTAGCCGGTACGCTTTTTTGGCTAAAGGTTGCAGGCTTGCCTTCCAGTGGCTTTGCTGATGCGACAAAACAACATCCGGTATGTGGTTAAAATATATAAGTCTGCCCGTCTGTCTGTCTGTTCGCTAACCCACTGATCTATATAACGACTCTCTGTAATATAATATAAATAATTATAGATTATCTATATATTGTTCTCTATTATAGATCAGTGGCCTCACCACAGAATGTGTGGTGTTGTAAAAGACTAGTAATCCCGTCACTTTGTATTTTCTTTATTTTTGTCAAAGTGAAATACAATTTTCCTTATTTTACTAGTATCAAATTATTTTAATGTGAGCAGAAAAAGACAAAAACACTAAAAGTCATACTTTTTGTTTCCCTGTCAAATTTACATGCGTTTTCCTATAAAAGGGTAGATAAAATAAAATAAAAAGGGAAAGTAAGGTTCCGGACGTGAAATCATTACGAATCGAACCTCAGCTCCATTTAATAAATCCAGCGGAAAACTCAAAGTACTATTAAACTTGTACTATGGCCAAATATTACCTTTTGAATATGAATGAGATGTTGTTAAATTTGTTTGGTATTCTTTCAATGGCAAACGTGAAAGTCATTGCATATTAATTAGACAATGGTTACGCGGTGTTTTTTCCCTCCAAGAACGAAGGCGTGGCTTATGAATATTAAGTACTACTCCTTCACCATAGTAGCGTTCGTAACTTAATTCGCGGACGGGAAGTCGCTGGACACAAGGGCTGCGAACCCACCTTACAAAGCAGTTAAAGCCCTAGATGTTCCCTTTTTTTTTTTGTCGAAACCTTTATATTTCCTTTATATCATCTGCAGTGTTACTAAATACCAGCTGCTTCCCAGCTTATAATAATAATAATAATAATAATAATAATAATAATAATTGACGCACAGTGTGACGTATCAGTGTTGTTAAAGTGAATCATCTTTACTGTAGGGATGCTGAGCCTAAGGCAGGAGGCCTGAAACCATCATTTCTATCCCACGTACCAACATAACATCTATCAATCATCTTCAGCGCAATGGAGGAGATTCTGCGAAAGCTTCAGAAGGAGGCATCGGGCAGTAAACACAAAGCGATCCGGGACTCCTGCAGTGTCGCGTGCGGTAAGATGCACCTGTCCGTCTTCAGGTCGTTTAGGAATAAATGAAATGCGGAAAAAAATAGAGGGACGTGTGTTCAGCGATTCAAAACACTGTTTTAATGTTTGAGAACAACATTACGGATCACACATCACGGATGTTTAATTAGAGCAACTGAATTCTAATATAACAGCTGTTACAGTATATGTGTTTTCCATAAGCTGTCAAATTGCAGGTTCATTTTTGTAACAGCATGAAGAATGAAATGAAAACATGCGAACTGAAATAAAATAAAATTGCTTTATTTCAAGTGGGCACTTATGCATATTGCAATTAGAACTTGAGTTTATTGCATGCGCTTGTGTTTATTTGAAGTTTTTGAAAGGTTTGGCTTTAAACCTCCTTATTTTAAAAATGCATACTAAAAAAATTAGCCCCATGGCCATGTTAATAGTATGTTTTTGGACATGTACCATGGAATATCATGCAAGTATTGCCGTGCATGAATATTCATTAGCAAGTGTACATTTGAAATTAGCATGATTTTTTCATTATTAAGGCATGGTAAGGACACAGTACTTTTAAATGGCTTTCTGTAAGGATACTTTCATTTTTATTTTCTTGGTAATTAAGAGGTTAAGAGTTGTTGTTGTTTTTTCACCTAAGTTGTTTACTTTCAAGGTGATACATTAAGGTGTAAAATAAAAGCAACAGAAGCAATATTGTTAGTAATACTAATAGTAGAATATTTGATGAAAATAAATTAAATATGACTATTTCATTGTATTTGCTATAATACATATTCTTATTTATTGTAATCATTAATATAGAAGTGTTTAAAGTGTTGTAGATGTTCTAGGCTTCTTCTTATTCTGTGTTCTTGTATTGTGTTTAACTAATAGGCTTTTAGTGGATGAGCAAAAGCAGCTCTAATTCCATACCATACTATAGTTTAAAGGAGACACATTATGTCCCTTTTTACAATATGTAATATAAGTCTCTGGTGTCCCCATAATGTGTCTGAAGTTTCAGCTCAAAATATCATTTTGAAAAAGCCTTTTTTGAGTGGAAGCAGAAACACGCTGTTTTTTGTGCCTGTCTCTTTAAATGCAAATGAGCTGCTGCTCCACGCCCCCTTTCCAGAATAGAGCTGCGCCATTACAGCTCGGACTGCTAATAAAACATCTGTTTTGGTTCTGATTATCATGTTTATCGCACTAAATCATGCGTTTTAAACCATATTAGTTTAAACTTCTGATACGGTTTTCTGAGCGCACATATCCGAAGCACACGGACAGAAAGCAGCTGTCACAGCACATGAGTACTAAACTAAGTTCTCATTCAGACACAAGTTTATGTTAAAGGGGTCATATGATGCGATTTAAATTTTTCCTTTCTCTTTGGAGTGTTACAAGCTCTTGGTGCATAAAGAAGATCTGTAAAGTTGCAAAGACTAAAGTCTCAAATCCAAAGAGATATTCTTTATAAAAGTTAAGAGTCAACCACACCTACCTAAAACGGCTCGTTCTAACACGCCCCCACATATCTACGTCACTATGTGGGAAGATTTGCATAACAACGCCCAAATGTTCACGCAAAGAAAGAAAGCATAACTTTTATTCTCGCTGTAGTATTGATGCCGCCATGTCGAGACGCTGTGTGTTT